ACCATAAGAGAAAAACAAAAAATAAGATTAAACATTACCTTTCTACAAAGTCTTTCTTTGGGAGGCTTTCCAACCTGAAAAAAAAATTAACAGATGGACAGTGGTCTCAGTTCATTTCCTTTTCAATTTTTATGTGAAATGCAGCTTTGTTATTGTTAATTTCAGGATTCCTTAGTTTAATGACTATGGTTTCAATACCTTGAGAGAATACTCATCTGGCTTTTAGAATACCACTTTTCATTGTTTGGAAACACATCACAACATACCTACCACTCTCAATAATTTAGAACTATTCAGGATTTTGGAAACCTTAGCCACTAAACTAAAGAAAAATTACACTTCTGATAATATACACTGTGACCCTTGTGCTACCATATCCAGCCAAGTGTGTAGATTTGGTAAAAAATAAAAGACTAATTATGAGAACTTCTACACAAATTAATGTGAAAATTGTTTTCAGACTCTTAAGAAAGAATTCAAAACTTTTTTGACATGAAAGACAGTTTTCTGTTACTCAAATGTTCCCATATCATATATATATATGAATATACATGTCCTCACTGTAAAAAAGGTTATATTGATTCAACTATTTGAAAACTCAAAACATAAATTAAAGTAAAAGAATGATTGACATGCTGTACAAAAGCATGCATGATACCATGGTATTCCTGTTCACAACAACCAGCTTTCAATAATTTCTTCAGCTGATTGTGAGAGGATGATCAGGACTAAAGAAACTATTAATCACAACTTTAAGACCACAGCTGAATGTAAACCAAACTTCAGTACCATTAAGACTGAAAATGTATCAAGTGTTTTGATTGAAGTGCACAAAAGTGAATTAATTCATTAAGCTAATAGAGACCAATTATTAACTTGAGTTAAACCACTATTCTCTTAGAACTAAAATGTGAGTTGATTTGCTTTACTGTTGTACACTTAATATTAAAAAATATGTTTTAACTTTTCTAAAACAACATTCAAATATCATACCTAAATAGCCAAAATCAAAACCAATTTTTTTTACAAATCATTCTAAAAAGAGAATTATTGTTTACACATTTCATTTACTTTTGAATGTTGATCAGATTTGGTTGTTATATCAAATGTAACACATTCATTTGCAGTAATCAAAGTTACTTGCCTTCTCCATTAATTTTGCCAAAGCCTCAAACTTTTTCATAAGGAATGTCTTCCACATCATACACCCAACACCTAGGTAACACAGAAACATAGATTTCAAAACATAAAATTAACAGATAATAGCTTGCTACTTATACAGAATATACCTAAAATGCACACACTATTAATGACCTAATTCATATAACCTAAATATAGCAGTAACTAATTAGTAAAAACCCTATCTAAAACATTACAGTATCAAATGTTGTTTGTTTATGATGAAGTTAATATTGTGTACACTGCAAATGTTCACTTAGAGTGAATTTAATATTATGTACTCCACAAAAGTTGTTTGCTTAGAATGAAGTAAATATTGTGTACACTGCAAATGTTGTTTTCTTAGAGTTAACTAAATACTTTGTAAACTGCAAATCTTGTTTGATTAGAGTGAAGTAAGTATTGTATATACTGCAAATGTCGTTTGCTTACAGTTACGTAATTATTGTGTACAGGGTGTCCCAGAAGTCTGGACCCACAGGGAAAAATACACAATTTATTCTTAATTTATTTATTATTCAAACTGCATGCCATTAACTGCCATACACATATCAATTCTTGGTATACTGTGTCATCAGGGTATCTTTCTTCCTGAAATATGTACAATTGACATTAGAAATGTGTTTTTTTAACTTCAAGATTTCATTGTCTACTTTACCTATGGGTGCAAACCTCTGGGACACCCTGTACACTGCAAATGTTGTTTGCTTAGGATGAAGTAAATATTATGTACACTGCAAATGCTGTTTGCTTACAGTGAAGTAACTATTGTGTACACCACAAATTTTGTATGCTTAGGGTGAAGCTAATATTGTGTACACAGGAAAACCAATATCATATTTAAGCTAAAAACCATAGTATACTTTTATACTAGCCTATCAAGCATCACAGTTTATTAAATGATGTTATTTACTGAGAATGATTATTGAAAAAAATCTCAAAATATTCCAGTTATAAAAATATGTGCTTTATATATCTGAATATAAAATGTTAATAAATCATTAATAATAACTTGTTTTTGATTATGTGAAATTAGTGGTGCTTTCTTACTCACTAAATGTCTTAAGAGTATTTCTTACCCAATTACACCTTACACAAGAGTACAGACATGCTGCCACGAATATTTCTTGAAACAATAAAATACTTTTATTATAAACTATGTTTTACTCAATGTTTGGACTGACAGTACTTTACTTGGTCACTAGAATGAGTCCTGACTTATAGGGGCTGCTATAATATTTCTACAGAGTGATAAGCATGGTATCTTTGTCCCAGTGAACCTAGTGTTCACAGGGACAACTAGCTCTAAACAGAGAAACTTTCTTCTGAGAACTTGTTTATCTTAAATTTTGATGCAAAAATGTGGTTTCCAATAAATCATATTCTGGTGACATTCCTCAACAAGAGTGTACCATAACTGTCATGAAATGAGTGATTGATGTAACAGGGAGTTTACTGTGACTGTCATGAATTTCAAGTGACTGATGTAACAGGGAGTTTACTGTGACTGTCATGAATTTCAAGTGACTGATGTAACTGAAAGTTTACCATAACTGTCATGAAATGCATCTGATTGATGTTTACAATAGTAGATACTATTGTTTAAAGACCTACCATTACAAAGCGTAGCAGAGTTAACTCGTGAGAGACACTGTATTGTTCCTATCAGATGCTGAACAGCGTCTCTGTCTGTGTTCCACTGAACCAAGTGCTCCCAGGCACAATTAATCAGTACCAAGTCTGGCTCTAGGCTTCGAGGATACCTTCGTCTAACTTGACTTAGTAGCCCTGTTACATATAACACAAGAAACAGTTTAAATTTCCTTACAAAATGCTGGGGTGTAAGTAAACTATAATTAAATCTGTCATCCTTTAACCCTTTCTGG